AATTGTTATTCTGCCCCTGAATGACAAAATCCTCTGTGCAGAAAAAGTCTTATATAAATCCATTGACTTGGATAAGTTTTGCTGTTGTCTATGTTTTCCTAGAAACTCTATCCCTCATTTCCAGTCCACCAGCAACAGACTCACCTTTTAGCGCACTGATGGCTTGGCACATCAACAACCAGCAATAATGAAGTCAGTTTCCTCTTTGATCTGTGTAATGATCTCTGAGTTAGAGAAAGGGACTGTCTGGCAGCCTTCTGTTACTCTTGGAGTTGGGGAGTATCTCTAGCCGTGTTCTTTAAGGTTATGGCTGGATCTCTTCACTGAACCCATTTCCCCACCCCTCAAAACCGCAGTCACGCAGCTTTCTTAGACCTGGCTGGGCTATTGTGACCCTTTCCTCCCACTATCATTTTATTGCTCCCTCTTAAAGCTGTCTGTAATCCCACAGCTTCTCTGTACCCTCATGACTTTAATGATACTATGTGACTCCTTCCTGTCCCTTTTCTATGAATGAAATCTCATTCCTGAGTTCTGGATTTTATTGTCTTTGATGGGCTTTTAGACTTCGTTCAAAAAAGTCACCAGGCAGTGAGTCTCCTCAGGCTGTTCATCCTATCACCAGTTGAGATTACTGACAATCCACTAAACATCTGCGTCTTGTTCAAGTTCTCCCTGAGTTCTGGGATTGCCCCTAACTAAAGCTGCCATGTTCCTTCTCCACTTCACCTCCACTTCACCTCTTATCCACGGGAAAGGTGACATATATACCTTCTCATTCCCTCTTGGAGTGCTTCTTATAATACCTTTAGCTTTTTGACCTGGCACCAAACCTGAAGGGCCACAGATGTACTTATTTTGTAAAAATCTGTTCTCAGAATCCCTTAGATAACCATTCTAATTTCCCACCTACTGGTATCTTAGATCCCAACATTATTTGGACTTTTACAGCAACCACTGGGGCTGATCAGGGCAATAAAGATATACTCCCTACATCCAAGCTTTCTCCCTATCTCTACTGGAACCCCTGTTTTATTTATTTATTTTTTTGTGGTTCATCCTCCTTCCCCATGACAGTGAAAATGTTTTGCCTTGTAAAATTGCTATTGATGAATCTTTAACTTTGTTGCAAATTTGGGGGCTAGAACCTAACAGGGAAGGAGAGAGAGAGAGAGAGAGAGAGAGAGAGAGAGAGAGAGAGAGGAGAAGAATAGGTACTCACAAACTACTTGGATGATGTTTCTCTCCACTTGCTCCTGAAGTATCATTTACAGTTTGGGCTCATAAATTTTCCTATGTCTAAAGCCTTCATTGATATTAGCTTACCAGACTCAGTTCTACAGGGATTCAGACATCTTTTAGGTAACGATAGTATTAAATTGTTATTTTATGGTGCTCCTGCTCAGTGAAAATCTGGCTCAGGAGATGGTTTATAGATCTGCACCTTTGATAACAAAATGTTCTTGCTTAAAGATTGGGTATGATTAAAAGTTTGTAAAATATTTAACAAAAGGGTTAATTTAAAATTTGTAATGGGGTTCTAAGGAGAGCCTTTGGGGTCCAGCCCAAAAGCCCTCTCAGGGTTCAGGGTGGAAGCCACAGCCAGAGAAGGACTCATGTCTGAGGGTGAATGAATCTCTCACTCAGTGCTTTTTCTAATTATTTTTAGTGTTATGTAGTTCTGTAAAGTTTCCAGTGCATGTACACACACAATCAGCTATTATCTGGCAATAGCAAGGTTATAAGGATGGAATTCCTGAAGGTCATAAAACAGATAAGAGCTGCTTATCTTACTTCAGGGCTCAAGGGAGGCAGGCTTGCAAAACTCCCATGGAATTCTAAGTGTCAAAAAGGTTGATTTACAGGGCTTTAAATTCTAAGAAGGGAAAAAAAGGAGTTCATGTGCTATATTCCAAAGTGGTATAAATTAGACTAGAGGTTTGTTATTAATAAATGTAAAAGAGGGGAGGAACACAATTATTGTCACACTCTTGACTGGCCCTATTATCAGTGTCACGGTAGCCATGGAGACAAGTGTAAAATGTGGAAAAGACACATGAAGCCTGGTTGCCAATATTGGCTGTCTAAGGGAGACCTCTCAGATCTACGAATTACATCTATCATCTTCAAAGACTGCACAACAAATATTCTAAAAAATATTTTCTATCTAATCTTTCTCTCTTCTCCTCTATTTCTTCCTATCTTCATCTGTTAATAATAACTCTTCCATATGGATGTTCAATGTTCAATGGACCTCTGCCTCTACCCAATAGCCCATCTTAATAGTCTCAGGAAATTGCTCTATATCAGGCTGTTAAAGACTGATCCTTTCCTTGTAACCCCCCATCCATCGCTTCATCACCAAGATTCACCCCCATTTCTGTTTTCTTTATGACCAAAGGGAATATTACTGTAAAAGTGATGGAAAACTTACAGATGTTTTCCATATCAATACCATGAGACAAATCTGGGCTTTTCAAATTCTCCTTGTCATATTTCCATACAGTAGAGATGTTTCAACTTCCACAATAAAGACCTGTGCCACACCGGATAGGAAGAGTATATCACCAGCAAAATGTATGACCCCTTTTTCAGGCACCAAGGAAACATGACCAAAATAAAGACAAAAACACAACACTCTGCAAACAACACAACAAAATAGAAAATATGAATCAGCATTCATCAATGGTTAATTCTTTCCTAATGTATTATCTTTTGGATGAACCTCATCTCTCCCCTCTGTCCTCATGGTCACTACATCTCTTGTTTCAGACTTAAGGCTGTACATATCAACTGCTAAATAACATGCTATCTGGCCACTTTAGAGAATGCTATTTTTTTGCCTCTCCCAGGACAAACACACAACCATTATTCATGGTCTCATCCATCATACTATTATTCTCTCTCACCTTGCCAGTCATTAATTGCTTATTTCTCCCATATATTTATCTCTGCTATCACTGGTGTGGGGGACTGACCTTGACATAAAATACCTCTTACCAAGGTAGGGGTATATAGATTTAGAAATATTAGTAAAGAACTGCGGCGCACGACACCCATCTGCGCTCTATGTGACCCCATACAGTCCGTGAACCAGGCAAGAGGTTGGAGATTGAAACACACAAAGACTCACAGAGACAGAGACACTGGTCATGCTTGATGCCAGAATGCCCAAGAATGCCCCCTTTATTGTGTCCAGGGGCAGCTTATACAGGGATAGCCACACCCAAGCCAATCACACCAGAAACCATTCCCCTGCCATCAGGAACTCCTGAGGGTCTCATGCTCAGAGCAGCTGTAGGCACTCAGGTCAGGGGAAAACAAGTTGTTTACAAGAAATTCAGGATCTGGGGGTTCACAGTTCCCAACAAAGAACACAAAGATACTTGTGAAAATAATAAAAAACAGAAATCAGAGAAAATACCAGGAGGGCATTCGAGTGAACACTGAAATTGTCTGCGTTTAATTTTTCATATACTTTTTATACCCAAAACAAAAGGGGAAGAAGGCAACAAAATACTTCTTTAACATGATATAAATGATAACTCGAACAGTCATTGCTTTGACACTTTGAGGCATGAAGTCATTAGCATTCTGTTGTTTAAGCAGTAAAGCTACCCTAGACCAAGTTCCTGAAGATAGCCATTTTCCAGGTAAACTCATATTACAAAAGAAGGAGCAGAAGTACGTTTGTAAATCCTGGCCATCAGACAGGATGGAATGGATCTATTTTTATGAGTCATCTTAAATGACATTTAGAAATTATGTAAGTGGAGCCTTTGATGAAACTTTGTGGTAAAACGTTTTGTACCATGCATAAAGTCCTAGGTATATTTCCTCATCTGTTGGGAGTGATGGGGGGGTATATAACAAAATACAGTTTTCAAGACTTCATGAAAGTGATCAGGCTAGTCTGATCAAACCATAGGGTGGTATACAATTGCAACCTTTACACCTTAGAATAATTTTCCAGTGGGTACACGAAATTGTATATTTCATGTATATTTTTGTATATTTACAAATTTTTCACACATATCCATGTTAAAACTAAACACCTAGTGCTTCAGAATAACTGGATTTAGAGAAATAGTCTTTTAAAATGCAGTTAGTTATAATGAAGTCTTTTTACAGGTGTTAATCCAATATACTTATTATCCTCATAGGGAAAGATAAGGAAAAAATATGCATCTAATGGAAAACAAAAATGAAGACAAGAAAGCAACCTACAAAGAAAAATCTGTAACAATCTATAGGGAAATGCCTAAGAGCTATTTAATTTTGCAAACTTTTGGTTTTAGATATCTAACGTCCAGACGTAGAAAGAAATAAGGATTTTTTTCATTTGGTTAATTTTTTGGTTTGTTGTGTTTATTTGTTTATTTGTTTTTGATTTTCTTTTACTGCATGGTGTGTTATAATTATAGTCCTATCAAACTACTACAATCATTATAACAGATTTGTATGCCACATTTTTAGACATATAAATATCATGCTGAATGATGAATGTGATCATCATTTTAATTTTTAAAATGAATACATAATAACAACAATTTGAAATATTGATTAATCACCTAAAATAAATGGAATTTTACATTCTTTAAACATTAAACCCTGAAGTGATGGTAGATGATCAGTTTGTAAAGCACTTGCTGTGTAAGGTTGGGGATATGAGTTTGTGTTCCTAGAAAAGAGTAACACCAAAGATGATAACATGCATTTGTATTCACAGTGCTTCTAAGCTGAGATGGGTGATGGAGATAGGGAAAATTTCCTCAAATCTTGCAGGTCAGCTCACATGGTATAAGCAGAGACAAGCAACAGTGATTTTATGTTTGAATGTATTACTAGAGACTGATGAAAACTACAATAAAAATATGTAAGAACTATATCAAACTGCTTATTAAGAACATATCACTAAGAGATACTAAAAAATTAGTTTAATTTTTTTAAATTTAATGCTTAATATGAAAATTTTCTCAAAACTCTCCTCATAAACTCTTTTACATCTTTATTTCTGAGACTGTAGATGATGGGGTTGAACATGGGAATCCCAATACTATCATGTCGTACTCCTTGGAATAGCTGGAACTGGGTCTTACGTACATGAAGAGGCTTGGGCTATATAAAATGGATACAGCAATGAGGTAAGCTCCACATGTAGAGAACACTTTCCTCCTCTCTTCAGCTGAATTCATTTTAAGAATTGTCAAGAAGATAAAAGCATAGGAGATCAGAATTATCAGGATGGTGACTAGTTCTATGGAACTTACAAAGAAGAAGAGCAGGAGCTCATTTACATAAGTTTCAGAGCAGGAAATAGCAAGTAGAGAAGGTATATCATAAAATATATGTCTAATTTCATTGGAACAACAGAAAGACAGGCTGAACGTGGTCACTGCGAGAACAACAGCATGCAGAATCCCACCAGCATAGGAAGCAATGATGAGTGACATATAGACTCTAGGAGACATGCTCACTGCATACATAAGTGGGCTGTGAATGGCTACATAGCGATCATAAGCCACTGCTGCTAAAAGAAAGCATTCTGTTGTTCCAAATGTAACAGCAAAGAACATCTGTGTTGCACACTCATGAAATGAAATGATTTTGTTTTTTGACATAAAACATACTAACATATTTGGCGTGATATCTGAGGAATAGCAGGCATCCACAGAAGACAATGCACAGCGGAAGCAGTACATGGGGGTGTAGAGTTGTGGATCTTCAAGGACTAAAATAATCAGTCCTACATTTCCTATTAGAGTAAAAAGGTAGATTACTAGAAAGAGGAAAAATAGAATGATCTGCAGTTCAGAGTTGTTGGTTTGTCCCTTGAGAATAAATGTGCTAGCTTCCATGATGTTCTTCATGTTGGAATCCCACAAAACAATATTGAAGATAGTTTACTGTTTATAGAACTATGAAAAAATAGATAATAATGGGAGTTAATGAACATAGACTATTTATATACTAAGTGGTCTAGGAGAAAATGTTCATATGACGGTATATTCATATATGCCACTTACATTAAATTAAAAAGAAGATACTGGTGTTTAATATTGTGGAGATGGACACACTACTTAAAGGTCTATTCTCACAATGCAATCACCATCAAACTTTTAATGACATTCTTCACAGACTATAATAAAACAGTATTAGATTCAAATGGAGCACCAAAGTCTCTTTCTGAATAATACAAAAATGTTCTCCCAGAAAACAGTTGTGACATTATCACAATACTTGTTCTCAAACTATATGACAAAACTATAAGATCAAAGACAGTGTGAACCACTACAAACTAAATATATTAACCAACTTAGTAGAAAGAGAAACAGAAAAAACACATACATATATATGTATACACATATATTTATACATGTATATATTTACAAGAATATATATCTATCATCTATCTATCTATCTATCTGTCTATCTATCTATCTATCTATCTATCTATCTATCTATATCATCTATCTATCTCTGGTGTGTGTGTGTGTTTACCTAGAAAAAAATTCAAGTGACAAGAAAACATCAAGGAAGTTTTGAGATAGCAAAGAAGCCCCGGAAGAGACAATAGTACAAAACATTATTTGGAATTCCATGACATATGTCAATAGTACTTTCCTAAGACTGGATGGATGATGAGATTTGCAGAGGCTGAAATAATTACAATTTAGTCTACATGTTTAAAAAAAGGATTCATAGATAACAATATGTTTTCTATTTATTTATTTTAAAATTTCCACCTCTTCCCCACCTCCCTTTTCCTTCCCCCCTCCCCCTCCCCGCCTTCCCCCCCCCCACCCCTTCCCCCCTCCCCCTCCCTCTCTAGTCTTAAGAGCAGTCAGGGTTCCTTGCCCTGTGGGAAGTCCAAGGTCCTCCCTCATACATACAGGTCTTTAAAGGTGAACATTCAAACAAACTAGGCTCCCACAAAGTTAGTCCATGCAGTAGAATTAAATCTCAATGCCATTGTCCTTGGCTTCTCAGTCAGCCTTCATTGCCAGCCACGTTCCGAGTGTCCATTTTGATCACATGCTCCATTGCTCCCAGTCCAGCTGGCCTTGGTGAGCTCCCATTAGATCAGTCCCACCATCTCAGTGGGTGGACGTACCCATTGTGATCCTGACTTCCTTGTGGGGGTCGCTCCACGCCATGGGGTCAGCATCACCACCCACCTCCCACGAGTTCTATATTGTCCTAGGGGTTAAAACACAAGACACACACGACACAGAAACAGAGAGTTCGAGTCATACTCAAGAAGAGAATGCCCAATTTATTCAGCTTAATCTGGGGTTAATATACCCTTTTGCCCCAGTAAAGAAAAACTCCTCCCACCCAGAGGGGGCTGGGGAAACTGGCACCTGTGAGAGCTTCTCCACAGGCAGGTGGTCTAGGGTGCAAGGCAGTGTCAGACAGGTAAGATGAACCTTGGTGTCTGGGCTCTTCCAGGCAGGTTGAGAAATTACCATTTTAAAGTGATATAGAGCCCCTGGGCTAATATACCAGGCTACAGCAGAAGCAAGCAGGGAACTTAGCAGGAAGCTTAGCTGGTTAGCTTAAACATTTCCTGCATCCTGTGCTTTGCCTCAAGGAACAGGGAAGACAGGGCCTCACACTTCTTTGCTCATGTTTTCCCTCCTTCTGCTCCTCATTTGGACCTAGGGAGCTAAGTCCAGTGCTCCAAAGTGGAACTTTGTCTCTATCTCCATCTATCGCCAGATGAAGGTTCTATGGTGGTATGCAAAATATTCATCAGTATGGTTATGGGACGAGGCCAGTTCATGCACCCTCTTCGCTGCTGCCCAGGAAACAATCTGGGGATCTCTCCTTGGACCTGGGAATCCCTCTAGAACCAAGTCTCTTACTAACCCTAAAATGGCTCCCTTAGTTGAGATATTTACTTCCCTTCTCCCATATCCATCCTTCCTCCATCCCACCGATTCCATTCCCCCAAACTATCCCGAATCCTCCCCTTCTCCCTTCTCTCTACCCAACTCCCCTTACATCCTCCCCCAACCCCCCTCTGCCCCCAAGTTTGCCTGGCAATCTTGTCTACTTCCAATATCCAGTAGGATAACAATACGATTTTCTTCAGGTTCACTTTCTTATTTAGCTTCTCTAGGATCACGAATTATAGGCTCAAAAACCTTTAATTATGGCTAGAATCCACTTATGAGTGAGTACATACCATATTCCTCTTTTTGGTACTGGGTTACCTCACTCAGTAAAGCGTTTTTGATTTCCATCCATTTGTATGCAAAATTCAAGATGTCATTGTTTTTTACCGCTGAGTAAAACTCTAATGTGTATATGTTCCACACCTTCTTTAACCACTCTTCTATTGAGGGGCACCTAGGTTGTTTCCATGTTCTGGCTATTACAAAGAGTGCTGCTATGAACATAGTTGAACAAATGCTTTTGTAGTATGATAGGGCATCTCTAGGGGATATTCCCAAGAGTGGAAATGCTGGGTCCTGAGGTAGGTTGACTCCCAGTTTCCTGAGAAATTGCCACACTGATTTCCACAGTGGCTGCACAAGTTTGCATTCCCACCAACAATGAATGAGTGTTCCTCTCACTCCACATCTTCTCCAGCATAGGCTATCATTGGTGTTTTTGAGTTTAGCTATTCTGACAGGTATAAGATGGTATCTCTATGTTGTTTTGATTAGGGTTTCCCTGATCGCTAAGGAGGTTTGATAAGAATGGGCTCTGCACTTAAGTGTGGTTTTTTTAACATTTGAGACACTGTTGAAAAAACTTATTTTCTTTTTGTGAGCAATTGTTAATCGGAAGTAGCTTCTGAGTTAAGAGTGGGAACCTCTGTACACTAGCCCTAACTGAACTAAGACCCTATCTGACCGTCTTTCACAGTGAGAGAGAAGAATAGATTATTATTTATCTTGATTCACTTAATTCTGAAATTACTTTTCCTGAGGTTTCTTCAGAAAGAATGAATATTTCAGAATTTTAGAATATAGTTTACTTGTGTGGTGAATGAAGTTACTTTTACAGGAATCATACACTTGATCAAAATATTTGAGTTCAATATAATTTATAAGAAGAATATTAATTGATAATGATGAGATAAGATAATCTGCAGACTTTAGAACAACATACAAACTGTGACAAACAGATCACCTACTTATATTCTCCACAATAGATGAAAAGTTACAGGCTCTGAGAGCAGGAAATAGGCTTTCTTTCTTGTTAGCTAACTGATAAGTTGTCTGAGCTAACTAATAAGATATCCAAGTGGCCAGTTCTAGGGGCATGCGCATAAAACAAATACTGAAGAGACTCAGTAAGCCATATAAGCCATAAAGTAATTAAAAAAAATACTTGAGACCAGTTATAGACACAGAAAGAATCAAAGAGGGGAAAGGGAATCCTGGAATAGATAGAGGACTTATGTGTGAAATTCTAATACAAACTAACTCAAATTAAAAGTAGTGAAGAAAATGAGAGTTGAGTATTAGTTAAGATTGACTTTCTGCATAAATTTTACTCCAGAAGGTACTGAGTTCATCCACTCACCTTGAGAAAGGGTTATTTGATCTCTATCTATCTTGTCTTTATCCTTACTCCTCTCTTGAATTATTTTGCTATTACACTATAATTTCTTTTTCTGCCACTACATAGGAAATGGAAATTTTTCCTTTCCTTTAGAACTAGTTTTTACTTAGTTCATCAGTATTTTACAGTGGTATATTTTATTTTAATAATAGCAACTCTCTTCTTCTCTATCACAACCTCATTCCTCAACCTGAATAATATATTTCTCTTTCCAAATAATAACTTTTGACAATTCAAATCAGTTTGTTTTCATATTTCACATGTAAGTGAAAACATATGAATTTGTTCCTAGTCTGCTTAATTTCACTTAACATAATGTTCTCTATTTCTACCAATTTTTCAATAACCAATGTAACATGGGGGTCTTTCTTGTTGGGATTTCTGTCCCACCTGGTACCCCACAGCTGTTTAGTCCTAAAGAAAATCACACAGAGGTCACCATAATTTATTGATTGGCCCATTAGCTCAGGCTTCTTATTAGCTCTTATGACTTATATTAACCCATTATTCTGATCTATTTTAGCCATATGTCTTGGTACTTTTTTCAGCTGGCAGGTCACATCCTGTTTCCTTGGTGATCTGCGCAGGACTGGGAGGAATAAACTTCCTCCTTCCCAGAATTCTCCTGTTCTCGTTGCATCACCTCTACTTTCTGTCTGATTTTCCCGCCTATACTTCCTGCCTGGCCAATCAGCATTTATTTAAAACATGATTGACAGAATACAGACAATTCTCTCGCACCAAACCTATAGTATTTGTTCATCAAATTTACTAAGAATACTAAGTTTTGTATATGAGACAATTTTTCTTTATTCCTCTGTTGATGATATCTAGGGCTCTTCTAACCTTTGGTTATTTTGATTTGTTATATGAATATGATTATCTCTAAAGTACAGTGTCTTTACTTTCTTTAGTAATATGTAAATGTGTGTGTGTGTGTCTATTATAGTTGTATTATAAGGAACTTCTATTTTCTTTTGAGGAACCAACATAAAAAACCCTAACATGGATTCAGTGATGTATAGTCCATAAACACACACACACACACACATACACACATTCACACACACACACACACACACACACACACACACACACACACATGTATTAGTATTGGACTTCAACCTTCCCTGCTTTCACTGACATTTCATGTCACAGTCATTTTCCATGAATAAGATTGATTCTCAATATTGATTTTCTATGCATTTTGCTCCTGATGTTAAAAATATGTGTGTGTGCTCTTAAGTCAATTGAACTTCTTTTGTGAATTGTCTACTCCCCTCAAATGCTC